TGATGATGGCCAGCTGTGTCCTGTGACTATTCTGCAGGTGCCTTTCCTTGGCTGCCAGTGCCTCTGCAGCCTTTGCTGCTGGACACTGCACTTTGTTGGAGAGCTCCCGAATGGCCCCATAAGCCAGTGCAACGTCCCACATATGCAAAAAAGAACCCGCCAGAGTCTCGGTCGCTCCTCACTGTCGGTGATATAGAGATTACAATAGGAATAGGAGTAGGAGAGATGAGAAGAACTCTCGTGTCAAAATAAGTACAGGGTAAAGCGGGAAAGGAAGGGGTGTGAAGACGGCCACTTGTCAGATCCTAGCAGTACAGCCCACTTCTGAGGAGTGGCTCCTTTGGGAATTACTCTCCCCGGTTTAATTGCTGCGCACAATTTGATGTGTCATGCAATATCCCAAGGGTCAATTTGGGCCATCCCCTAATGTGCTGTCCTATCATAATCTTCTATCCATTGTGGTGGTTTCTGACTGATAGCCAACAGAGGTTGATGGGACCACTCTCTCACTCGCCGTCCTGAAAGAAATAGGGGAGTGAGAAACCTGAATGGGAAGAGAAGGCTCCGGGGTTGAGATAAGATGCAGATAATTAAAGGCAAGCAAAATGGGGAGGCATGCAGAGGCTGCGTGGAAGCAAAGAGAGAGAAAACAGGTATGTTCTTCTTCCCATCAGGAAGTGATAGTCAGGCATGTCTGGGGATGCACGGCATCCAATTCCTTAGGAGTGGTAGGAGAGGGCAGATGTTTTTGCAAGAGGACTCTCCTGTCCTCCTCCTCTTTGCTCAGCCTTTCTTGCTCAGTGTAATGTGCCATGGCCTGGAATTGGCCTTGGATCTTTTGGCGCCAGCTGCCCTGTTGAGGCCTCCTCCCCACTGCTTGCCATCCCCCAGCATACGGGCTTTGATCTGAGATTGGAGAGAACCTTGATGCTGTGCCTGCAATGCTCTGCAAGATGCAGTGGTATGATATCGGTCACAGATTCACAGATTTTCAGAGGTTGGTACTACATCTGGAAATCATGCGTTTCCAAGCCCCTTGCTAAAGCAGATTCCCCTCAGAAGGTTGCTGAGGAAAGTGTCCAAGACTCTGACTCACAAGAATGGGAGGAAGGAGGACCTGAGGAACGATGGCCGGTGAGTCTCACCGCTGTGCCTGGGAAGATCGTGGAACAGATCCTCCTAGAAGACGTGAACATGAAGAAGGCACAAGAGGGATGAGTGGGTGATGGCAGATAGCCATCATGGCTTTGCCGGAAGAAGGTTTTGTCTTAGCAGTCTGGTGGCCTTCTGTGATGGAGTGATGTCATTGGTGAAGAAAGGGAGAGTGGCCAATGCCATCTACGTGGGTTTGGGCAAGGCCTTTGACGTGGTCCCCCCTCCATATCCTTGTGCCTGAATGGGAGAGATACGGTCTTGTGGGGTGGACTATTCAGTGGGTAAGGTAATTGGTTGGTAGGCCAAAGACAGAGGGGTGTGGTGAATGGCACTATATCCAGGGGGAGGCTGATTATGAGCAGTGTTCCCCAGGGGCCTGTGTTGGTTCTGGCACTCCTTCACATCTTCATCGATGACCTTGACGATGGGCTCGAGTGTACCCTCAGCAAGTTTGCCAATGACACAAAGCTGAGTGGTGTAGCTGACGTGATAGAAGGAAGGGAAGCCATGCAGAGGGATTTTGACAAACTCAGCAGGTTGCCCGTGTGAACGTAATGAGGTTCAACACAGCAGAGTGCAAGGTCTTGCGTGTGGGTCTGGGTAACCCCAATTACGTGTAGAGAGTGGGAGAAGAACTCTTTGAGAGTAGCCCTGTGGAGAAGGTCCTGGGTGTCCTGGTGGATGAAAACGTAAACATGAACCATGAGTGTGCTCTTGCAGCTTGGAAGGCCAATGGTATCCTAGACTCCATCAGAAGAGGGGTGGCCAGCATGGATGGTGAGATGGTTGTTCCTCTCTACTCTGCCCTTGTAAGACCCCACGTGGAGACCTGTGTCCAATGCTGGGGCTCCCAATACAGGAAAGGTGTGGAGCTGTTGGAGAGGATCCAGAGAAGGGCCCCAAAGATGATTAGAGGACTGGAGCAACTCGGAGACAGGCTGAGGATGCTGGGCTTGTTCAGCCTGAAGAGGAAAAGGCAGTGAGAAGACCTCATTGCAGTCTTCCAGTATTTAAAAAGGGGAATTATAAACAGGAGGGGAATCACCTTTTTACAAGGGTAGACTGTGATAGGAAAAGGGGGAATAGTTATAAGCTCAAGGAGGGAAGGCTTTCATTGGATGTCAAGGGGAAGTTCTCTCTTTCCGAGAGAGTGATGAGGTGCTGTAACAGGTTGCCAGGGGATGCTCCATTCCTGGAGGTGCTCAAGACCAGGTTGGATGGGCCCATGGGCAACCTGTTCTAGTCCCAGATCTGGAGGTTGGTGGCCCTGCCTGGGGCAGGGCTGCAGAACGCGCTGATCTGTGTGGATCCTTCTCTTTGCTCAGCCTTTCTTGCTCAGTGTAATATCAGATGAAATAGTCCTTGGATCTTTTGAGGCCTCCTCTCTACTACTTGCATTCCCCCAACGTTCTGGCTTTTGTTTGTGAGAGATTAGAGAGCGTCTTGAGGCTTTGTCTTTTCTGCTCTGCAAGAGACAAAACAATAATATGATATCATTGACAGGTTATAGAGTTGCAGGGTTTGGCAGTACGTCTGGAGATCGTCTGTTCCAAGCCTTTCTAAGATTCCCCATGATATGTTGCAGAAGTAAGTGACGTGCACCATCAAACTCTGTAACCCAAGTATGGTTACAAAGCAGGTATGGTTTATGCAGTGCTGCACAGACACCAGATGTAGAGGAAATAGAACTGCCTGACTTGCACACAGTGTGGAATAAATCGTGCTACAGATTAGCTATAGGCCAAACTAATACATAATCAGTAGTTTTCCTGGAATTTGGATCCATATTCATTATACCCCCAAGAGTTCATTAGCATGTAGACCTTCCACTCTTGAGTGTGCATAGTGGGTTGTGGGATGAAGATTTGTTGTTTTCCTCACAAAGGTTTCTTACCTTTCTCACTGCAAATTTCTCGCTGTAGAAGCCCTTTGGGGTTATGTCTCCCCAGACTGGTTTCTTCTGTCCCTGTGGACATCTAATCACCTTCCTGCCAGACATCCTTGGGCTCTTCTCAAACCCTTATTTTTATTGCCTTCATCCCCCTCACTATCCCAGACCCAGTGTCTGCCATCTCTTATTTTCTAACAAGCTCTACATTCTTGCTTCTATAAACTATCTCTAACTATTCCCCTTCAGCCCCCTTATTCTCAGCCATTGTGAAGCCTTTTTGCCTTTTTGCTTTCACTTGTAGGACCCTTCTCACCTTTCAAAAGAGTACGAGAGAATTTTGAATGCATCCAGAGAAGAAGACTCAACCACCTCTCTGTACAGCCTGTTCCAGTGCTCTCTCAGTGCTGTTCTGGTTTCTCCTGAGCTTTCTACCAGTGGGTCCAAGTGAGGCCATTCTCCTCAGCTATGTTAGAAAGCCAAATTTGCAGAGCTGGTGCTGCACAGTCAGGCCCAAGAGGAACACACAAGTTTTTTTCTGTTAATTCTGTTCAAAACATGTTGTTGCATCGGACTCCACTCGAAGTAGTTCCTCTTTTTAGTCACTTGGCCGCATCCTAATCAGTGCCTCCATGTTATCCATTCCCCTATAAAACTTGTGCTGTGATGTCTTTGTAGAGTAATGTTTCTATGTAATCATTCTGGGAAATGATTGTGACTGTTTTTCTGAACAATTGGTAAGACATTTCAGGGGCGTTTATATGTACCTCTGTTTTTTTCTTGTTTTTTTTACTGAGTTGGACAGTGGGGTTGGGTGAACCACTAGGAGCCAATTTAAGGCTGCATGAAAATATCCAGCTCTTCAGAGACTGCCATTCACTTTGCTGTTCATTCTATTTGTTATGTTCTGATGATCTCAGCACTGTGTAACAAGTAATAAAAGGGGACTGCACTTTCTCAGAGAGCTCCTGAATGTACAGCACAATGAACCTGGCAGGCATATAAGCCAGGTTCATATAACCCATCAGACTCTTATTTACTCCCCACTCTCTGTTGATCCATTTCCTCTGCCTGGCTGGAGGCAGGGAACCTTTGTTCCTGATTGAGTATTTGTCACAATGATCTTCCAAATGTGAAGAAGTCCATTTATTAGGATCAAAAATAAGAACAGGCCTTCTTTCTCTGAGGGACAGCCCTTTTGACTTTCTGGCTCCTCACTCAGGGTCAGCAGTAGACACCTCCTGCAGGATGTGCACTGAGGCTGAGATGGCGTTTCAGGACATAAAGGCAATGAAGCTAGACCTGAAGGCCAGAAATACTGTGGGACTAGTGGACATCTTTGTTACCTGCTAGTGACAGAACTAACCTAAGGGAGTCAGTCAACTGCTCAGTGTTCCAGGTTACTCCTGGTGGGGAAAGGGTGATGGGTCACCATGTGCCTCAGACTATCTCGGAAGTCTCCAGAGAAGCTGATGTCCTGCTGGCACCTAGAGTGTTTGCAGAGTAGAGTGAGTGATGCAGAGGCACAGATTAAGATGCACCACAATTTTATTGAGTCAAAAGTGGGAAAGAAAGTTGCTCCAGTGGGAGGACATCAAACAGGAAGCAGCAGGAACAGTCTGCACTAATGGACATGGTGGATATCCCCCGAGCTGTCCATCTGCCATTTTTTCTGCACAGGGAGAAATGCCATCAGCTCCTCCCTTGGCTGGTTGTCTGGGTGTGGTGGACCAGAAGAGCAGAGATGAAAAACAAGGCATCAGGAGACAAGAGAGTGGAAGAGGGGAAAGACAGACATGGGCAGTGCATTCTCAGAGGACATGCTGGCCCTGCCTATTTGCAAGAAGTGTTGCTGTTGCTTGGGCCGTATGAAAGGAAGATCCTAGTGATCCCTCTCATGGCTGCTACCAAATTCTGGGTCCTGGTAAGTCAATTTCCAAGACCATGGCCAGCAGCTTTAGCAGGGGAAGCACCGCCTGCCACAGATGCCGCTGCCAATGCCAGAGAGGCCAAAGCCTCCAGAGGAGATGGGCACGCCCTCAGAGCTGAGGATGCTGCCAACGGCAGCGGAGGTGGAGGAGCCCACGGCGGTGTTCTGCGGGAAGGAGCTGAGGATGGGTCCAGGCAGGGTCACCACCACGGGAGAGGGCTGGATGAAGACGTTGGAGTCCTGGCACTGCCTGACGCAGGGCTCGTTGCAGCTGCTGCCCAGAGGGGTGGGGCCGCAGGGCTGGCAGGGCAGGCGTGGCAGGCACTGGTCGTAGCAGGACATGTCTTGTGTCTGGAGGGGCACCTGTTGGCACAGAGGGTCAGGAGGACACAGAAGAGAGAGAGGAGCAGTTTGTCATGCCAGCAGGAGAGAGCCGAGGCACTGTGCTGGCTGGGTAAATGGAGGCTGTGTAAGGAAATCTGTTTTCCAGTTCTTCCCTAAAGCTCCAATGGTACCGCCAATCGCTACCGAGTTTATGCCTAGCCCGTAGCACAGCTCGTGCAAGACCCAGCATCTCTCCAGCTCGCACGTGCTGCCCCATTCCCCCTAGCACAGTAGGCTGCTTTCCCAAAACGCAACCTTACGTGGAGACACTTGTACGTCCAGAGAAATCCCCAAAGAAGAAGAGGTTGTGAAAGGGCTTTGCACTCACCTCGTTCCCTGGGAGATGGAGGCAAGAGGAGCGAATGACTGAGAGAGGAGTTGGGCCTGCTTTTATACTGCTTGTGTGCTGCCTGAGGCCAGCAGTCACTTTAAGCAAGCAGTAATTTTCCCAGAGACTCACCTCAAATGCAAACAATCCTTCATGTTGGCACAGGTTCTGCTTTTTGTTTCTGTCAAGTCTGTCATTTCATTTCCTCATTTCTGTCATGACTATTTTGCCAGGTTAATTCTTTCATGTTTTCGTGTGAGAGACCCAAGCAATGGTTGGCAATTGCCTTTGTAGAAAGAGAAACATCTCCTCATGCTACTAAAATCTGAAGCCACGCCTAAGGTTTCTCTTCCTTACATACGTGCTACATGGTTCTCTCTACTCCCATCTGTGAAAGAAAAAAAACATTTTTCTGTTTTGTCTCAAATCTTGCTTTGTGAGGTTTTTCTGGTGATAAGACTGACAACTGAGTTATCTAGGGGGGTGAGTGCTGGTTGTCACAGTGCCACAGCACCTCTGCTTATGGTTGCAAAGATAAGCAGAAGTGGGACAAGCTGTCTTTTTCAGGGAGCAGCTTGAAGGAGCTTACTGCTGAAAAGGTGGTAATGCTTGTGCGTGGCAAGGAAGGCACCACTTCCTGCTGGTTTATCTGTTGGGCCTGGTATGTAACACTAACAGAGAGAAAGGAAGACTAAAAAAACCCGAGATGGGGGATAAAAGGACCTCACTAAGCTAAGGACTTTGGAGAACTCCCAAAGAAACCTTTGACAGAGAATTCCCTGAGGGGAAATCCTCTTTCGATTTCCTGCCAGGGTCTACTTGCAGTGAAGTTTCCTGGCTTTCTCCCAACCCCCACGGTGACCAGACGAGTTCCTGAGATCAGTGTACCTACTGTGAAACTTGCTGGTCCCTCAGTGGTGACTGTCTCACTCTTGCTTTCTACAAAAACTCCTTGTTTTTATTTCATATCTCTTTCCTATCACCCGTCTTCCCTTCCCCATATCCCTAAGCAACTAGGATTTGTAATAAACTGGTTTGGCTAATGTTTGACCTGTTCTATCTTAATCTCACCATCGGGTACATATTATAAGGAACTTCTTCTCCCTCCTATAAATTGGAGTGAGACACCATCCTCTCCAATCCCACAGTCACTGGCCATTGTGCAGCAGGCTCCACATGTCCAGCCACCATGGTATCTGCTGGACGGTCAACTCATCAGGGCATTCGCAAACCAGGAGATTTGTCATCTGATTTGACAATAGCTTCCTTCTCTAGGACAGAGGAGCTCCATCTGAGAAGTGGTGTTTTTCAGGACCCCATCCTCACTGAGTATGATGGGCTTATGTTGAATGTGAATGTGAAAAGCAGCACTGGCTTCATTGTTTATGAAATGCTGGTGTTCAGTGTCCTAAAGGAAGCCAAGAGGACACAGTAAGATCACAAACCTGGAATTCTGGAGAGCAGACTTTGGCCTTTTCAGGAATTTACTTGGTAGAATATTCTGAGATAAGATCCTGGAGAGAAGAGGAGCCCAAGGAAGCTGGTTAATATTCAAGGATCACCTCCTGGAAGCTCATGAGTGAAGTATCCCAAGAAAGATACTTGCATTGTGGAACAAAAAACTGTTGGCCAAATGCAATCTGAAGATTATGAAGCTTCTGGAGGATGGCAGCAAAGATGTGTAGTCTGAGGGGAATACAGCCATAATGTCTGTCCAGCCAGAGGTCAAGAGAGGGAAGCTAACGACCTGATAGAATTCAGTCTGGCAAAGGACATCAGGGGCAGCAAAAAAGACTTCAAAAAAGATCTTAATGGAAAAAGGAAAATAAAAGAATTTGTGAGTGTTCTCCTCATGGAAATGGGTGACCTGTAAATCAAATGGGCATTGAAAATATTGAGAAAATGATTGTCTTCTTGTTTCTTACTCGTCCAGCAAGTGTGGCTTTCAGGAATCCCCTGGCTCAGGGGCCAGGCTGAAAAACGGGAGCTATCGAGATGTACCTTTGGGGCAAGGAAAGCTTGAGAAAACTGGATATTTTTAATACATTAGGCTTATTTGCTCCATGGTAAGATGTGACCATGGGTGCTGAGGGAGCTGTCCATTCTTTATCACTAGTGTAGGTTGGTGACTGGGAGAAGTGTCCCAAAGACTGGGGGAACATGGATATCAGTCCTGTTTAAGAAGACCAAGAAGCAGATGCGAGGGAGCTACAAGGACTCTATGACTCAGTCCTATGGAGCTGCTGGAGCAGTGCATCCTGAGAATTGTTTGATGGCACATGAAGGGTGAATGTATCAGATGCAGCAATCAGCATGGATTTACTGTGGAGAAGTCATGGTCTGATATACCTGGTAAGTGTCTACAATGACCTCGTAGACAGGAAAGAGAACAGGACATATTCTTGCTGGAGTTCAGTAAGGCTTTTAACATTGTCCTCAATAAGATGGTCATACTGAAGCTATTGATGAGTGGTCTGAATGAGCCCTCCCCAGCCAGACCAAAAAACACCTTTGTTGGGGCAACATGTGTGCTCTCCTCTAATGAGCAAGGACTGCTGGGTCCTGGCGCTGTTGGGTAGCTGGGGATGTTTGTGGAATGCGTTGTGATCAAGGTCATTGTTACAAAACTCTCCCCAACACCATGAAACAGGCAAGGTATAATTGCTGCATGAAGAAAACACTTTCCTGCCCTGCAGACATGAGGGGAGATGGGACGTGCTCCAAAAGTGCAAGAGAATGTGTATAGAAACCAGGCTTCCTGAAGAGTGTCTCCTGAGAGAAAGCAATTTTGAATCTAATTTTGAATTGGCCATGCGCCACCCTTTTGGCATGAGGCCTCCCCAGCAGGCGTGTTGTTTGCAGGCCTGAACACCACACTGGGAAGAATCCTACTCAAATGTGGAAAATCCATTCTGGAGAAGAGGGAAACCTGCGCCCTGTCCTGAAAAGCAGCACAGCCATCTACTCTAGAGACCAGATTCCACAGGGCTTTTTGGGTAATAACAGGGCTCAGGAAGGCAGTGTTCTACTTACATCAAATAGCTGATGGCATGGGTTGGCTGATGACCCCAGACACAGTCATGAGAGCGGAATTATCAGTCCAGCAAACATGTTCCCAGAACAAACACCTTTGTGTGGAAAAGAATTTGCAAGGCAGCAAAACTGCCCAATTGCCTTTTCAGAGAGATGAGCAAGGAGGGAAAAGGGCAGAATGAGTTCCCAGACAAAGAAGGCTCAGAATGTCCTAGACAGGGCTGCACTGACAGGAAGATATGCCTTGCTTGCTGATAAAATGGTTACAAATAAGGTCATGACATTTCCCCTGAGACACATACTGTGCCTGTAGCACAGAATGCCCCGGGCACTTGGGATGCATCTGTCACCCCTAGTGACGTGTTTCTGCAAGGAAACTCCTTGTGCCTGTCATCCTGGAACTTGAAAGGTGTCCACGCAGCCAATTTGTGAAGGTCGGAAAGAGGGAAATGAAATGTCAGGGTTGACAGAAACAAAAACCCAACCTGTGCCATTAGGAGGGAGAATTTACATTTGAGGTGAGTCTCTGGGAAAATTACAGTGTGCGTAAAGAGACGGTGGGCCTGGGGCAGTGCTGGAGTGGTATAAAAGCAGGCCCAACTCCTCTCTCAGTCATTCGCTCCTCTTGCCTCCATCTCCCAGGGAACGAGGTGAGTGCAAAGCCCTTTCACAACCTCTTCTTCTTTGGGGATTTCTCTGGACGTACAAGTGTCTCCACGTAAGGTTGCGTTTTGGGAAAGCAGCCTACTGTGCTAGGGGGAATGGGGCAGCACGTGCGAGCTGGAGAGATGCTGGGTCTTGCACGAGCTGTGCTACGGGCTAGGCATAAACTCGGTAGCGATTGGCTGTACCATTGGAGCTTTAGGGAAGAACTGGAAAACAGATTTCCTTACACAGCCTCCATTTACTCAGCCAGCACAGTGCCTCGGCTCTCTCCTGCTGGCATGACAAACTGCTCCTCTCTCTCTTCTGTGTCCTCCTGACCCTCTGTGCCAACAGGTGCCCCTCCAGACACAAGACATGTCCTGCTACGACCAGTGCCTGCCACGCCTGCCCTGCCAGCCCTGCGGCCCCACCCCTCTGGGCAGCAGCTGCAACGAGTCCTGCGTCAGGCAGTGCCAGGACTCCAACGTCTTCATCCAGCCCTCTCCCGTGGTGGTGACCCTGCCCGGACCCATCCTCAGCTCCTTCCCGCAGAACACCGCCGTGGGCTCCTCCACCTCCGCTGCCGTTGGCAGCATCCTCAGCTCTGAGGGCGTGCCCATCTCCTCTGGAGGCTTTGGCCTCTCTGGCATTGGCAGCGGCATCTGTGGCAGGCGGTTCTTCCCCTGCTAAATCTGTTGCTGATGGCCCTGGAGGAAGATCCCCAGGGTGCACAAAATCTTTGTGGGACTTGAGACCAAACGATGGAGCTAGTTCGCTCACGCTGCAAATGTGATCCATGTCTTCCTTCCTTCCCCCTTTTCTCTCTCTCCTTTCCTTCCTGTGCCATTACTGATCACCATCTGCTCCTCTGGGCAGTCAGACCCACAACACCAGCGTAGGGAGGACCTGATGGCCCTTCTCCCTCTGTGGAAAAGGTGGATGGATGGATGGCAGTACATCTACCAGCTTCATGTCCTGCAGACTGTTGTCTGTTCCTAGTACTTCTAGCATGTTTTATGTTGTTTCTCTTGTCTCACTAAATTTGACTGCATCCTAATCACTGCCTTTGTTGTTACTCATTCTCCTATGAAGTTTGTGTCGTGATATCTTGGGACAGGGATGTTTCTCAGTGATTATTCTGTGAAGTGGTTCTGTCCACAGGTGGTTTTTTTTGACAGGGCAATGCTCAGTGCTTTCATCTCTGATATGGTATTGCTAGTGGGGCTGGCCACAACCCAGGTGCAAGACCTTGCATTTGGATTTTTTAAATCCTATTATGTTCACTTGAGCTCACAGTTCAAGATTGTCTAGATCTTGGCATCTTGTAGCATTAGTGTGTCAACTGCAAGACACAGCAAACTGATGCAGATTGCTGAGGGTGCACTTGACCATACTGCCAATGTCACTGATGAAGATATTAAAGAGTATCAGTCCCAGCACCAGCCTATGGGGGACACCACTCATCACCAAACCCAGTGCAGATATTGAGTCACTGACCACCACTCTCTGGACTCAATCCTGCAGGCAGCTTTTCTTCCACTGAACAGTCCACCAACCAAATCTATATCTTTCCAATTTGGAGAAAGTTTGTATTTCCTTTTGACTCTGTCCAAAGGCTTGTTGTGCAGCAATCCACTCAAAGTATTTTGCCTTTTGAGTCTCTTCACCAAGAGAGCTCTCAAGCTGACTGTGGGCTGATGGTGCATTCTCCAGAATCCCACAGGGCCACGGATAGCTTTCTTCCTTAATAGCAAGAGGGGGAATAGATGCTACCTTCTTAGTCAAATCCATGGTGATACAGCAATGTGAATTCACCCTAGAAATGAATTTTATGTCAAAACCAACCTTCAGAAGATGAATGGATGATTTTTGTCCATTTCTCAAAATCATCCTCTGATGTGTTACCCTACAGGAAGATGTCATCAATGTGCAGGTGTTCAGGAGATTCCCAGCTATTCCTGTGCAGTCTTGATCAAGCAGTGGCAAATGGTAGGGTATGCTCCACCCCTTGGGCAGTCGATTCCAGGTTTACAGACAGCTGTTGGAATACCCCTATCACTGCAGGTAGACTGCTGAGTTCTCTGCTTTGGTGACATGATAGCATCAGGGTACACGGTGCGCTTGTGCTCACCAGAAGCTTCTACACACCTGAGAGTCTTAGGTAACAATTCATCAGATCAGTGTAGTCCAACAAATTCAGTTGTCCATTTCCTCTTCCTGGCTGGAAGCAGGTACCCCTTGTTCCTGATTGGAGTATCCATCACGTATTTCTTCCAAATGCGAAGCAGAAGTCCCTTCACTAAAGGGGAAACTAGGTAGGAAACTGTAACATTCTGGCATTGCAGTGGAACTACAGAAATAAGAATATGAGAATAGGAGTGAGGGAGCACTGGATCAGGCAATTCAGAGAGGTTGTGGAGTCACATTTTCTGGATATATTCAAGACCCATACAGATGTCTACCTGTATGACCTGCTGTGGGGAAAATACTTAAACTGGGTGGTTGGTCTCAGTGCTCTCTAGAGGGGCCTTCCAATTCAGTGAATATCCCCATGTGGAAGCAACCCAGGTCTTCTTTCAACCATGCTGTTAATATTTAAGGATTCCATACTTGTTCGGAGTGAAGTTCAAAATCATGGGAGGAGACAGCAGTGGCACACACCTGTCCATATCCCCCCACAGACTTGCCATCCTCTTTCACATTGCACTGGGGATGATTCTGGGGTAGTGCTCATAACTAACCCTAGATAAACAAAACAATGCCTTCTGGAGAATAGGCAATAGGAGAATGTTGCCCAAGGATGTTCACAATAGTCCAAAGCAATTGCAGTTGCCCACAGAGAACAGAGGGGGAGGTACCACTTCTGATATCTTCTACCAATTGACTGCCACAGGAAAATAACAGGACTGTGTTACTTAATGTTCAATGTTTCTTAATCTCAGAGATGGTATAAATGTAGGGCATGAATACCAGATTAGACTCAAGACTGATGCTGAGAAAGACAGACACAAAGTCTCAGATCTGATGTATAACAAACAAGAGAATGTGGCACAGATCACAGAAAACAGGATGGTAGAGAACAATCTCAGGAGCAAACCAGAAAAGACTATGATCAGCAATCATTAAAGGAGTATGATAATTGTAGTTTACCCCTCTGGTGCTGTGATAAAATCTGTAGCTATCTCAACTCACAGGAGAAACTGGGCTGTTGTGGGGCCTGCTGTGTGGAGGTGCAGAGGGGCAAACAGAGCAGGAACTGATGCTGTGCTAGAAGTGTGCTTGTGATGTGCTATGCCTGCTGTTTCAGCCACACCTTTGACAGACTGCACAATATGGCCTGCGGTGAAGAAAATCAGCTCCATTGCAGCTATACGGAGTGCAGCCTAGTTCTCTAACTCTCTTTCCTGCCTTGCTCTGGGGCCATTTTCAGCATAAGCCTCCTGCAACTTCAGGCTCCTCACTCAGGTCCATAGTGGCCATCTCCTGCAGAACGTGCACTGAGGCCTTGAGGGCACGTCAGGACAGAGAGGCAGTGAAGCTGGACCTAAAGCCAAGGATATTGTGGGACAGATGGACACCTGTCTCACTCAGTCTTCAGTGGCAACCAGGACTCGAATATTTCCCATGTCCCTGAACTGTGCATCCATAAAGCTCTAGGTGGGGACCTAGGGGAGTAAATCCTCCCCCAGTGTAAGGGCATAGCAAGTCCAAAGCAACCTCATGAGACCAAATGTGTATAAGTCCATGGGGCCAGATGGTATGCATCTCAGGGTTCTGAAAGAGCAGGCTGAGATGGATTCTGAGCTGCCCTCCACCATAATTGAAAAGTTGTGGCTGTCAGTTGAGGTACCATGTGAATGGGAAAAAGGGTCATGCCACTCCCATTGATAAGAAAGGGAGTAAGGAGGATCCAAGGAACTACTGGCCAGTGACTCTCACCTCTGTACCTCACCTGGGAAGATCATGGAACAGATCCTCCTGGACAACATGCTTGATCACATGAGGAATGAGCATGTGATCCGAGACAGCCAACAAGGCTTATCCAGGGAAAGTTCATGCTGGACAAATCTGGTGGCCTTCTGTGACGGAGTGATGGCATTGGTGGACAAAGGCAAGGTGACCGATGTCATTTACCTGTACTTGAGCAAGGCCTTTGACAAGGTCCCTCACCACATCCTTACCTCCAAGTTGGAGGGATGTGGATTTGATGGGTTGACCACCCAATGGATAAGGAATTGATTGAAAGGCCACTGACAGAGGGTGGTGATTAATGGTTCTGTGTCCAGGTGGAGGCTGGTAATGACCAGGAGTCTGTCTTGGGACCAGTGATCTTTAATATCTTTATCAGTGACATCAATGATGGAATTGAGTGTGCTCTCAGCAAGTTTGCTGTTGACACCAAGCTGAGTGGTGCTGTTGACACAGTGGAAGGAAGGGAAGCCATTCAGAGGGACCTCAACAGATTTGCAAGATGGGCCCGGGTGAAGCTAATGAGGTTCAGCATGGCAAAGTGCAACATTTTCTACTTGGCCAGAGGAATCCTAGGCATATATACAGACATGGTAGGAGCAGTCTTTGAGAGAAGCACCTGCAGAGAAGGACCTGGGAGTCCTGATGGATGAGAAACTTAACATGAGCTAGCAGTGTGCTCTTGCAGCTCAGAAAGCAAATGGTACACTGTGCTAAATCAGAAGAGGAGTAGCCATCAGGGGGAGGGAAGCGCTTGTCCCTCTACTCTGCCTATGTGAGGCCTCATCTGGAGTATCGTGTCCAGGTCTGGAGCGTGCAATATAGGAAAGACAGAGAGCTGCAGGAGAGGATGCAGAGGGGAGCCATGAAGATGATCGCAAAGATGACGTAGTTGAGCACCTCCACTACAAAGACAGGCTGAGGGAACAGGGCTTGTTCAGCCTGGAGAAGAGAAGGATGCAGATTGACCTCACTGCAGCCTTTCAGTACGTAATGTAAAGGGAGTCTATAAACGGGAGGAGAGTCAACTCTTTGAAAGGGCAGATAACAGCAGGACAAGTGGAAATGGTTTTAAGTTGAAGGAAGGAAGAATTAGGTTGAATGTCAGGGCGAAGTTCTTTACTATGAGAGTGGTAAGGGGCTGGAACAGGCTGCCCAGAGAGGCTGTGGATGCCCCGTCCATCCCTGGAGGTGTTCAAGGCCAGGTTGGATAGGGCCCTGGGCAGCCTGGCCTAGTATTAAATGGGGAGGATGGTGGCCCTGCCTGTGGCAGTGGGTTGGAGATACAAGATCCCTGAGGTTCCTTCCAATCCTGTGATTCTGTGATTCTGTCCCTTGCAATCCATGCTATTCTATGATTCTATGATGATTAACAGTGCTCTCCATAGTGAGCCACCTGCAAAATGTTCCAGGCTACAACTGGTGGGGAAAACGTGCTGATTCCCCGTGTGTTGCACACCCTTGCTGCAGTCTCCAGAGCAATAGATATCCTGCTGGTACCTGGAATGTTTACAGAGTAGAGTGATGCATAGGCACAGATTGAGATGCAGCACAATTTTATTGAATCAAAAGAGGGAGAGGAAGTTGCTCCAAGTGGAGGGCCTCATTCAGGAAGCACCAGGAACAGAGATAACACTGCGAGGTGATGACGGATGTCCCACTAATTGCCCATATGCCTTCTCCTCTGAGGGAGAAAAACAGTCGTGTCCTTGTGGGCTGGA